GCGGCGGCGGCGGCGGCGGCGGCGGCGACGGCACCAGCCACAGAGCCCGCCTCGCTCGCCGATGAACTCTCCGCGGCCAACAACGACGATGTCAACCAGGACGGATACGAATCCAGCACACACACCGACACCGACGACTTTGAAGACGCCGCCGACGGCTCGCACACCGACGAAACCGTCAACTCGGCCGTCGTCGAATCGCAACCCATCATCGAGCCCACCTCGCCCGTCGCCCACCATCTTTCCCTCCAAGACACGCCGGATGCTCCTCAGAAGCTGCGTCGGCCCTCGCTCCTCGCAGACGCAGACGCAGACGCTCAGCTCGCCACTCCCAAGCCCACCGACGCCGCCTTCCCATACTCTGCCGAAGCACCCCCCGCGACGGAGGCCGAATCGACAGCTACGGGTGACGACACGCAGACACAGGATCATGTAGTCGCCAGCTCTTCCGCAGCCACATTCGTCGCCTTGCCACCGCACGACAAGGTGCACACCATCCATGCGCCGCCCGACACGCCGCTCAGCTCGGCCGAGATCAGAGACAGCCAGTCGGCATCCGACTCGCTCGTCCTCGACGAGGAAAAGGCCAAGGCCGCACTGCCCGAGCGCGACGCCGTACCGCCCTCGATCGGCGCAAACTCGATGCTCGAGCCGGAAGAAACGATCTCCAACCCGTTTGCGGCCGACGAACCCACGCAGCCGATCCGGTTCTCGCAGCACGCTGCTGACGCGGCGCCGGGCAATCCGCCCGACACGCCCAGCGTCAACTCGAACCACTTTTCCCTCGTGAGTCTCGGCAGCACCACCGCCTCAGCCGCAGGCGCGGACGAGGCGGCGTGGGCAGCGTCGGCAGACAGGGACGCACGGCGCGACACCATCACCACCAACGGCGACAACAGGTCGGCGGATGCCGCCATGACGCGCAGCGGCGAATCGTCCAACTACGACTTTCTGCTCGCCAGGCTCGAGACGCAGAACAAGCGGCTCAGTGGCGACCCCAAGCAGATGCGCGCCAGTCTCGATGGCGCGGTCAAGCTGCGCGAGCACTTTGAAAAGCTGCGCGGGCAGGGGCAGCGGCATTCGCGCACCGAGTCGCAGAACCGCGCGGATGACGAGGTCGCCGCTGCAGCAACGCAACAGCAGCAGCAGCAGCAGCAGCAGACGAGGGAGTCGGTGGTGTCGACGGATACGACGGCCTGGGAGGGGCCACCGGTGGACGAGGTCAAGGAGGACGATATCGACTGGGAGTTCTGGGGCGACGTGATGAGCAACTACCAGAGTGTGGCGCGCAACCATCCGCGGCAGTTGAGTCGGGCGATCCAGGCGGGGATTCCGGCTGCGTTGCGGGGGATGATGTGGCAGTTGATGAGCAGCAGCAAGAACGAGGAGATGGAGATCATCTATGCCTACTACCTCAAGCAGACCTCTTCGCACGAAAAGGCGATTCGACGAGATCTCAACCGCACGTTTCCCGAGCAGGATTACTTTCAGGACGGCAAGGGGGTTGGACAGGAGAATCTGTACAACGTCATCAAGGCCTACTCGTTGTACGATCCCGAGGTGGGGTATTGTCAGGGGATGCAGTTTGTGGTGGGACCGCTGCTGTTGAATATGCCGGATGAAGAAGCGTTTAGTACGTTTGTACGGCTGATGAAGTCGTATGATCTTCGAGGGCATTTTACGCCGAACATGCCCGCGTTGCAGTTGCGCTTGTTTCAGTTTGATCGATTGTTGGAGGAGATGGTGCCGTTGCTGCATCGACATTTGGTTCGGCAGGGGGTCAAGTCGAGCATGTATGCAAGTCAGTGGTTCATGACGCTGTTCAGCTACCGTTTCCCTCTGGACTTGGTCTACCGCATTCTCGACTCGGTCTTTGCCGAAGGGGTGGAAGCCCTCTTTCGATTCGCCATTGCGCTCATGAAGAAAAACGAAGAGGCTTTGCTCGAGCTATCGTTTGATCACGCGGTCAACTTCCTCAAAATGAACCTCTTTGATCAGTACCTCTCCAACATCCCATCGCCAGACGGTAAGGCGGTTTACAGAACAAACGAATTCGTCAGAGACGCCTTCGAGATCAAAATCACCCCCTTCATCCTCGACACCTACGCCGCCGAATTCGACACCCAGGTCAGAGCCGCAAACGCCCACCGCAGAGAAGTCGACGCCCTCCGTCTCGTCAACCGAAATCTCGCTGCCCGCGTACAGGCACTCGAGAACCAACTCAACTCCCTCAACGCAGAACACGTCGAAATGGTCAAGGACGTCGTCATGGCCAAAATCGCAAAGGAAGAAATGGCAGAAGACCTCGTACGCTACAAGATGATGTACGCAGAAGCCGTACTCGCCGCAGAAGAACAGAGCTCCAACCACAGAAGCTCCGCCCAAGCCATCGCCGCCAGGCAACTCGAACATCACCAGAGACTCTCGGCAAACTCCACCTCCTCTTAACCCTCGCCATCCTCACTAGACACTGCGCAATTCGCATCCCCTTCTTCACCCCTCGGTGCCATCACACCAACAGCCCCTGCTCTGCAGCGAGACACACACAGTCGCGAGTGCTGAATCCGAGTCCACGTGAACAAAAACACTACAGTTACAGAAAGCGCGCCTACTCGTCGTCCGAGTCGTCGAGGTTGTAGCTCAGCTTGCTCGACGCCGTGCGGGCCGTGCGTGCCGTCGCGCGCGCCCGCGGCGCCGGCTCGGGGCTGTCCAGGCTGAACGAGTCCTCCGTGTCCGACGCCAGCGCTGCGGCCTTCTTGCGCCCTGCGCCCGTCGCCGCCTTCTTGGCTGCCGGCTTGGCTGCCGCTGGCTTAGCCGCCGCCTTCTTCGTCTTGGGCGCGACGATCAACTCGTCGTCCGAGTCGGACGAGAGCGAAAACGTCTCCGGCGCCGCCTTGGCCTTGGCCGCCGCACCCTTCTTGGCCGCCGCCGTCGTGGCCGTCTTGCGGAAGAGCGGCGCGAGCTTGGGCTTGGCGTCACCGTCGTCATCGGACAGATCAGCGCCCGCGGTCACCTGCGGCGTCGTGGCGCGAGAGACCGTCGCCGATCGCGAGGCGCTGGCAGTGGCGTTGGCGCGCGGCTTCTTGGCTGCCGTCGCCGCCTTGGTGGTGCCGAGCAGACGCGCCATGTCGTCGTCGTCGAGCGCATCCGCCGCAGCACGCTTGCGCGCCGGACTGGCTTTGGCCGCCGCCGTCTTCTTCTTCGGGGCGGCGGGCTTAAAGTCGTCTTCCGAGTCGTCGAGGCCGTCCATGGCTACGTCGTCCTCCTCTTCGCCGTCCGAGTTGAGCGGCTTCTTGAGCACCCGGCGCGCTGCACCGCCCTTGGGCGCCACCTTCTTGACCTGCTTGCCCTTCTGCACCTTGAACGACACGTCCTTCAGTCGGCGCTCGTCCTCGGCGAGCATCTCGTCCCAGAAGCCCAGGAAGTTGGTCAGGTCCTCGTCCCACAGGTTCTGCGGCGTGCGGCCGATGAGCACCCTGAGCTCCTCCTCCTTGGCATTGCGCTCGTTCAGCAGCTTGTCCACCTTCTCCTTGGTGAGGTTGTAGATGGCCATGTTGAGCAGGTAGTCGTAGTCCGAGTCCGCCGAGATGTCGCTCTCGTCCACCGGCTCGGCATCCTCGATCTCGGCCGCCACCGCCGCCTTGCCCTGCTTGGGGAAGGGGCGGAAGTCGTTCTTGCGCAGATCGGCGACAATGTCGGCTCGCTTGCGGTTCGAAACAACAAGCTGGCGGTTGATGATCATCTGCACGAAGCGCGCCTGGTTCGACAGCCGGTCGTACATGAGCTTGAGCTGGTCCACCAAGTGCTCCTTGCGCTTCTGGTAGTACGACAGACGCAGCAGGTAGAAGTCCTCGAGGATCTCTTCGGGCGTCGAGTACTTCTTGATCTTGCCGTCCTGGTCGAACAGCACCATGTTGGTCGTCGAGATCTGCGCCGACATCTTGAAGAACGCCTCGACGCCCTTGTCGGCGATCTCGGCCTGGCCCTTGGCGGTGAGCTCGACGATAAAGTGCACCGTCGACTCGGTGTGGTACTCCTTGTAGTCCTTGATCGTCGCCGGCACCTTGTCGGTCGACACAATGCGCTCCTCGAGCCCTTCCTTGTACGTCGATGTCCAGGTGCGGATGGGCAGCTCGGTGATCTCGTACGTCTTGTCGTCGATCTGCGTGACGCGGCCGCTCACCTTGAAGCGGCCCGGCGCCACCTCGTCAATGTCGCCGGTGAAGCCGCGGTACCACGGCTTCATCGGCACCACCTCCTCGCCCGCCATGCGGCGTCGGATGTTGGCCACGATCTCGTGCGGGTTGTAGTTGGGCACCGATGTCGACCAACCGGTGCCGATACCTTCGGCGCCGTTCATGAGCACCTGGGGCACCACGGGCATGTACCACTCTGGCTCGATGCTCTGTCCGTCATCGTCGAGGAAGGTGAGCAGCGCGTCGTCCGCCTGCGGGAAGAGCGCGCGCGTGATCTTGGGCAGGGCGGTGAAAATGTAACGAGCCGAGGCGGCGTCCTTACCACCGAGCAAACGCGTACCGAATTGACCCCTTGGCTCGAGCAGATTGACGTTGTTGCTTCCGACAAAGTTCTGTGCAAGACCGACGATGGTCATGGTGAGCGATGCATCTCCGTGATGGTAGGCTGTGGTGCCAATGATGTGACCGACGAGCTGGGCGACCTTGATTTCGCCGTCGCCCCTGCGGTTGAACGTGCCAAAGATGACCTTGCGCTGACCGGGCTTGAGACCGTCGACGGCAGAAGGGATGGAACGCAGGTTGTCGGCCATCGAGAAGAGGATGAGCTCCTTGTTGATAAAGTCGGCGTAGGGGATCGTGTCGATGTTGTGGTCGAGGTAGGTGCCGGGACGGAACTGGCGCAGCCACTCCTTGCGGTCGTCGGCCTTCTTTTTGTTGAAGGCGAGGTCGATGAGCTCGCGGTCGCCGTCCTTGGTGACGTCGAAGGGCAGCATGTGCTTGTCCATGGCGCGGAAGTACTTTTTGGCGTCCTGCGAGTCCGAGGTACCGAGACCCTTGAAGTACTTGATGCGCCAGCCCTTGCCGTTGTTGTGCTGCTCCTTCCAGGTCATGTACTCGGGGATGGTGAAGAAGGAGAGCTCCTGCTTGCCCTTTGTGCACTTGACGATGGGCGTGATGAACTCGACGAGGAAGCCGGGGATCTTGAGCAGCGACGGATAAAAGTGGTCGAGGAAGTTGATGATGAGACCCTTGATGTGCGAGCCGTCGTGATCCTGATCGGTCATGATCATGATGCTGCCGTAGCGCAGGCTGTTGACGTCGAGGTACTGCTTTCCGTGCTGGAGACCGAGGATCTCCTTGATGGCCTTGATCTCGCTGTTCTTCATGATCTGGTCGTGCGAGGCTTCGCGGACGTTGAGCAGCTTACCACGAAGCGGGAAGACGCCGTAGTTGTCGCGACCAACCTCGACGAGACCGGAGACGGCGAGCGCCTTGGCCGAGTCACCTTCGGTGAGGATGAGGGTGCAGTCGCGCGCCTTTCTGCCGCCGGCGTTGTTGGCGTCCTCGAGCTTGGGGATGTTGGTGATCCTGGTGCGCTTGTGACCGTCGGTCTTCTTGAGCGCCTGGTCCTGCTTGTAGCGAGCAAAGCTGACGATGTTGTCGACGACGCCCGACTTGATGACCTTGCGGGCGAACTCGTCGGTGAGCGTCCACTTGCTGCCAAAGGCGCTCTGCTTGAGGGTGAGCGTCTCCTTGGTCTGGCCGTCAAAGGTGGGGTTGACGATCTGGCAGTTGACAAAGACCCAGAGCTGCTGGCGCACCTGATTGGGCAGCACCTTGCCGGTCTTCTTGTCCTTCTTGACGTGCTCGATGAGGCGCGTGATGACCTGGTCTGCGACGTGGTCGACGTGCTTACCGCCCTTGATGGTGGCGATGTTGTTGACGAACGAGACCTGGCGGAACTCGCCGTCGGAGACGGCAAAGGCGACCTCCCAGTTGCGGCCCTTGTCGACCGTGGACTCGTAGATGATGGCGGGCTTGGCGGTGGCACCGACGGGCATGTCGGCGGCGCCGTTCTCGCCCTGGTCGGCGCTGCCGCCGAGCTCGTTGATGGCGGTGACGTACATCTCGACGTACTGCTTGAAGCTTTTGATCTTGAGCAGCTCGCCGTTGAGGGTGACCTTGATGCCTTTGACGGTGCCTGCCATGTCGTATACGCGCTTGAGCATGAGCGCCTCCATGTGATCGTCGATCGAGTCCATGCCGAAGAGGGCGAGGTCGGGCTTGAAGGTGATGGAGGTGTACTCGTCCTGGCGCTTGTGTGGGGTGATCTTGGGCTTGCCCTTGTCGTGCATGTTTCGGGAGAAGGTCTGCTTGTACTTGCACTGGTTCTTGCTGTCGGCGGTCTCGACGGTGAACTCGGTGGAGTAGATGTTGGCGAGCTTGGCACCGTAGCCGTTCCTACCACCGGTGACCTTGGCCTCGTTGTCGTCGTAGTTGGACGAGGTGAGGAGGTGGCCAAAGATGAGTTCGGGGATGTAGACGCGCTCCTTGTCGTGCATCTCGACGGGGATACCGTGGCCGTTGTTCCAGACCATGATGGAGTTTTCCTCTCGGTTGATTTCGACCTTGAGGTGGTTCATGTTGGGGTCGCGCGCCTTGTTGTCGGCAGCATTGACGAGGATCTCGTCAAAGATCTTGTAGAAACCGGGGACGTAGGTTGTCTCGCGGTAGGCCATCTGCTGCTTGGTCTTGTCGTAGACCCAGAGCTTCTCTGTATGCTTCTCGACACTTCCGATGTAGGTATCGGGACGCTTGAGAATGTGTTCGAGTTGGGAGAGCTTCTGGTAGGTCTCGGAGGCGCTCTTGGAGTTGGCCGACTTGGTAGGGGGCGGGGGCTGGAACGAGACGTCAGCCTCGCTGTCCATCATGCTGACGTCGTTGTCGCTGTCGGCGCCATTGCTGTTGCGCTTTGCAAGCGGCTGCTTCTTGGGCTTGGCGACGCCGTTGGCCTTGGAGGCGGCTGGCTTGGCGGCACCATTGGCAGCAGCCTTGGGTTTGGCGGCAGCGGTCTTGGCCTTTGCGGGCGCCTTCTTGGTGGGAGCTGGGAGCGCGAAGCTGTCGGAGGCGTCGGACTCGTAGTCGGACATCTTGACTGTGGTGGCAGCGAAGCCGCGGAACGAGGAAGGCGACGGGAGCGCGGGGAGCAACGCCGAGACACTCGGAGCAGCCCAAGGGTATACGGAGCTCAGGTGCGATGGAGACGCGGGCGGCAATAAACGCGAGAGCCAAGCAGCGCCGACGCTGCTGCCGCGACGGAGGGTGAGTTTGGTGGTGGTGGAAAGAAGCGAGGCGGCGCCAGGCAGCCAGGAGTTGAAGGGAATGGTGAAGGTCCTCTGTGAGTCGAGGATGCCTGCTGCTGCGTTGGGAGTGACAGCAGCTGGTCCTAAGATGGGAAGAAGAGACACGCGAGGAGGGAAGGAAGGGGGAAAGGTTGGCGGGATCTTGAGGCGGTGGTGGGATGGAAGAGTCGGGCAGGCGCGAACGACGCGCGGAAAGTCGCAGGTGTTGGGCGCGCCGAGTCGAAGTGGCGGAACGAGTGTTGCCGCCACCCCTCAAGGCGCAGTCACAGAGGGCGGCACCAAGTGCGGAAGTGCGGCGGAGCGAGAGCAACACTTTTTTTTTCTTTTCTTTCCCGCACCTGCTGCTGCTGTCCGCCAGACAGGAACCGCAGCTGCAGAGAGCTGCACAAAGCTTACGGGTCTGGACGAGACCCAAAAACACACCGACGCGCCTCGCATGGACTGAGCATCACCGCTCTGCCATTTCCGCACCCGAATCCACTCGCGGGCTCGATCCAAAACCCGTTTGAACTCAATCTGCTCAGCGGCTGATCAGTGTCGGCAACTCAGCAACCAAGCTCAGGCTTCATTACAAGCGTGCAGCGGAAGAGCGGGCATGATCCGAAAGCGCGATGCGGATGCGGATAACTCAGCTGCAGGGTGCGCGTGCAGAAGAGTGCTCTCGCGCCGCTTCGCAATCACCTCCGCCAATTTGCGGCGCAAACGACGCGTCTTCACGTGACAACTCATCATCCGCCCGCCCGTCACCTGTCGCAGGCTGATCACACCTCTGCGTCTCTCGTCGGCATCGCCGAATACGACCGGATGCATGCAATGAAGGTTGATGAGTACGTATGCGGATGCGTGTCTATGTGTGTTCATGCTCGCGTTGGAGTCGCGCGACGCCTGAAGATGCGGCGTGTGACGCCCTTGAGCGGCTCAAGCACGGTGCGTGAGAAGGGAGCGGCGAGCGCCACGGAGGCGCCGATCCGCAGCGGAATCAAGGCCTTGACCAGGATGTAGGCGGCGACCATGTTGGCAAACGAAGCTGCAACGCGACTCGTGTCGCCGACGTCCTGAGCCTGCTCGATTGTCTCGGCATCTTGCTTTTCGAATCCAAGGTAGCCCTTCCTTCGGCAGTAACGCTCGAAGCGCTCCTCCTTTCGTCGAGCCCAGGAACGAAGACGCGCTCCCATGCTCTCGTCTTCGGCGCTTGGATCCGCATCTCCCAGCAGCCACTGCAGCACTGCCGTTCCTACGCCCAGCGCGCCAAACACGTAGAAGAGCACCACGAGCGGAACCAGCGCGGTGAGTTCGTGAAGGATGAGGAACGAGGCCATCATGGTCGGTGCATCCGTGCCGTTCTTCCGGGCGATCGAGCGCACGCGCATCAGCGCACGCTGCAGACGCGACCGCGGCGGACCTTTGAGCTTGCCCGTGTACCGCCACGTGACGTTGCGATCGTGCTCGCCTGCCAACCAGAAGGGCTTGAGCGTGTCCGGCAGCACCAGCTTGCCCTTGTCCAATCCGTGATTCTCCAGGATCGCCACGATCAGGCGCGGAATCGCCGCCGCGGTCGCATTCAACGTATGCAACGGGTAACTAGCGCCTTCACTCGGCGGTTGTGGGGACGCCTTGTCCAGCGAGCTGTCGGACGCCTTGTCGGACGCTTCGTCGGACGCCCTGTCAGCCGGGTCGTCAGCCGAGGTGGCAGACGACGCGGGTGGCCCGCGCTTCTGCCGGATGCCGAGTCGCAACGCCTGATACGCCGTGCAGTTGGATGCCGACGACACCTCGCCCCACGAGCCGCGGCCGGGCATCCACACCTCGATGTCGTACTTGCGATACGCGCTCGCGCCCAACTCCTCCGTCGGCATGTCCAGTACGCGGTACGGCAGACCCAGCCCGCTGATCACCTCCTCCTGGATGTCACGCAGCTCCTCCAGCATCTCGTCGCTCCTGTTCTGGAACCCCTTGGTCACTACAAACATCTCGACCTTGCTGAACTGATGCACGCGATAAAGTCCGCGCGTGTCCGAGCCGCGCGCTCCCGCCTCGGCGCGGAAGGCGTGTCCAAGCGCAGCCAGCTTGATCGGCAGGTAGGTTCCTTCTATCAAAGACCTGTGCGATTTGGCGGAGCTCGTGGTGCGCACCTTGCTGAACCTTTCAAACAGACGTCCAGCGAGGAGACCTGCCAGCGGGATCTCGGCAGTAGCCGCCAAGCAAAGCTCGCCGCTCGCGTTTGACGCTTCCTCGTCGGCCTGTTTGGCAGATGCTTCTTTCTGGAGTTTTTTGCGTGGGACTCCTTCGATAAAGTAGGTCTGCCTGGCTTTCTCGTCTCGAGGACGGAATCCGCACCGGTCGGCCAGATCCGCACGCACCACATCCGGAGGCGAGACTGCCAGGAAGCCTTTCTTCACCACCTTGGACATGGCATACTGCGTCAGCGCATGCTCGAGCATGCTGAGGTTGCCCAGCAGATACGGCCACGAGCTTCCGGTGGCCAACAGCCCCGACATTGTGTCCACCTCGGCGTGTCTAGCATACTGGGCGACCGTGAGATGCTCGCGTTTCGGATTGGGCGGCGGCCCTGATGGAAAGTCCTTGATCTGAATCGCCGACTTGTTCCACGACTCCTTCATGGCATCGAATTGGGTGGGCAGCAAGTTGAGAGGATCCTTCACCGACACCACCACCGCATTCTCTTCTGGTCCGATGGGTACGTCCGGATGGCAGTTGTTCGGCCAAGACAGACGAATTTGCAAGCTTCGCTCACGCAACTCTTCCAGCTGCTTTGTTATCACCACCAGCTCGGCCTTGACCTGTTTGGCGCGATCACGCAGCTGCCTCGTTTTCTCTTGGGCTTCTTCCATCATCTTCTTCGCCGGGTCTTCGTCTTCGGCCGAAGCAGGAGCAGATTCGGAGGTTGCTCCTTCGTTTGCATCCTCTTCCTTGTTTGCGGCGCTCTGGCTCTTTTTGCCCTTCTTTTGCTTTGGCTTCTTGACCGCTGCGGCCGCGAGCTGGAAGGTGCGGTTGAGCTCGGTGGTGAGGGCCTTGTGCTCGGTGGCCAGCTCGGTGTGCTTGAGATTCATCGTGTAGATCTGCGAGCGTGCCTCCCGCAGCCACTTGAAATCGGCCTCGTCGTAGACCATCTTTCGCATCTGCATGTCGCGTCGAGCCTCGTTGATAAAGTCGTCCGATACGCCTCTGCCCGGCACCAGGGGTGGAAGTTTGCGTGGCTTCTGCGCAGAAGGCGAGCTTGGTCCGTCTTCCATGCTCGTTTCCGCTTTGTCGCTAGAAGAAGCAACGGGCGTCTCGCGATCCGCGCCCTTGTCGATCCCATGTTTGTGTTGCTCTCGCCATTTCGAGGTGGAAGCATGCCGCAAAGCGCTGGCTTGAATTGTCCAGGCCGGGCGCATCGCCCTTGACGAGCCAATCAAGGCGCGCCATATTGGGCCAGTCGGATGTCGGTATGACATGATGCAGCTTCTGGAGGACCGAGGGTCAAGCTGCCTAGCCAGCGAGCGATGCGTATGGACGACAGCAAAAGTGGTCCTGCTGCTCTTCGTCCTCTTGTGGGCTGCCCATCCAAAGCTGCACAAAGGGACCACCTTCTTTTTTGCTTCACAGGGTCTGGGTGAAGCCAAGGTGGAGGCTAACGTTCTTCCTGAAAGACCGACTTTTCGCTCGCCTGGGTTCAACGCCTCCGATCTCGCATGCCGATTTTGAACGCGTGCTCTCGTGCGGAAAAAAATGCAGACTCAGGGCAAGCAAGGTGCGCTTACGTTTTGTGCGCGGCCTTGGCCGTTGCTCAGCACAAGCCAAGGCAAGACCAATGGAAGGTCGGCTGCTCATCGTCGCCTACACCGCTGCTGTTGCCTGATCACCGTCACCCTCTTCGACACACACACACACACACACAC